TCACTTGTATATTACTGGTCCATGCCTCAACAGCTCTATGCCAAATCTGACATCTCACCATAGGCTGTTTCCATGCAAACGCATCCCTCGCCATAAAAGCGATGTTGTTTTAACTCCTATGAAAACGGTCAAAACAGCACCAGACTTCAGATGATGGATAATGGTCCGGCCCTCAACAGCTCTATGTCAATTATGGGGGTGTCATCATATGCCGTTTCCATGGAAACGCATCCCTTGACCATAAAACAAGATGTCGCTGTAACTCCAATGGACAGGGTCCGATCGCCCACCAAACTTTACGTGTATATCACCGGTCCCTGCCTCAACAGCTCTACACCAAATCTGAGATCTCACCATAGGCCGTTGCCATGGAAACGCATCCTTCGCCATAAAACACGATGTCGCTGTAACTCCAATGGACACGGTCCGATCGTCCCCCAATCTTCACCTGTATGTCACCTCTCCATGCCTCAACAGCTCTACATCCCTCGCCAAAAAACACGATGTTGTCGTAACACCTATGAAAAGGGTCGAAACAGCACCAGACTTCAGATAATGGTTAATGGTCCAGCCCTCAACATGTCTATGTGCCAATAGTGAGTTTTCCTCAAAAGCTGTTCCCATGGCAACACATTCCTCGCAATAAAACACGATATTGCTATAACTACTATGAAAATGGTCAAAAATTGCGCAAAATTCACATGTGTGCTAACAGTCCAGCCGTGAAGACATCTACGAGACAGTTTTGAGGTTTCTTCAAATGCCGTTGCCTTGGCATCATAACACTCGCTATGAAACACATCTAAGCGTATTATGGGGTGTCATCAAATACCGTTGCCATGGCGACAGATCATTCTCAGATCAAGTTAGTTCAAAAGTTTGCAGTTCAAATATTCTGCTGCTTTTCCAAGCCTTTTTACTTTCTTTAATTATCTTATCACACATTCAAGTCCTCAGTGTTCATGTATCATTTCAATCTAAATTCTTCACTTTCTTCTTACACATTACATTTCAGCATAACAGTTCAGCGTCAGCTTTTCAGCATAAAGCATTCCCACTAGCAATTTCTTCAGGAATTGCATTATCTAGTTATGAATGTTGTTACATCAAAGTCGGTCAAAATGATTTTTTCCCTTCCAGAGCTGCGCCCCCCAGATCTGGGGCCATAGGCCACCGCCTATGCCAAAAAAGGGCCCTGTTTCTAGTAGTTGTTAGGTATAATTTGAAGTAAATTACATTCTATTCATTGCTGGAAAATGTGCAGTTTTTGGCGAATTCCATATAGTAAAACGAATGAATATTTGACAGAATAAAATAGTAGCACACAGTAAATCTCTTGAAATGGGAGTAGCATGACTGTGCTGCTATGGGCTGACCAGGGCTCCTATTATTAGAAGAACACTAACAACCCACAACTACACACAAACACACACCTAGGCCACTTGTCACATTCTTACAGTACACTGCAGGAGGAGAATGAAGGGGGCAGACTTGCATTCATAAACCTGTCACTAAGAACATTTATGTTGAAATAACAAGCTTCAATGAGCCATAGCTGTGCAGAACAACAATTAATCCAGTTAATCTCAGAAAGTGTTTCAGACTAAGACGCTGGAAAACACTTTTCTCCCTGACATCCAATACACTTGAACTTTCCTGAAATGAATTAAAACGACATAACTGTTTGCCTTAGGGCAGATTTGATATGAATTGACAGATTTTCATTTCTCTCAATCTACGGTTTGTGATCCTGAATTTGCCTAAAGGGCTTTTTTGACGAACACTACCGCAGAGTGACTCACTGTATATAGAGTTGTGTAAACTAGAGGCTACAAGAACATGTGACCTTTGAAAGAAAATAGCAATCCATGTTTTTTTCTCATTTAAGTCTGCAAGGGGGAGATTTATAACTAAAAGTATGTTATTAAGAAAGGAGTGACATATCTCTATTATGCATCTCTTGTTGGTGTTTGAGGATGTTGGAGCTGCATTGAAAATACTTTTTGAATCTGTTATCAGGGAGCTGTGGAACCCTGCTGATTCAATCACAAGCATTGAAGCTTATTTAACAGCTGATCACAGATATGTGACAGCACTCTCACTGTGAGAGGAGAATGGAGGCGGTACCGAGCAGCCAATAGGAACACCAAACATCCAACCAGAATATCAGTTGGCCAATGGGATCCCCCATCATTGACGTGCAAGGTGTCCTGCCCATATCCTGTTTCCATGGTGCTCAGTGACAGTGTCACGGAAACCACTTGAAACAATGCACAATGGCGTAGACACACCCTCTCATTAGCGGCGTCCACAAAGGCTGGCACCATTATCTAGTCTGACACTGATAGTCACAAAAACACACAACTCGTACTACATTCGAGAACAACACAAAAACACTCAGAGTTTGCCCCACTAAGCAGCAGTTGTAACCTTCTGTTGCCAAAAATAGTGGAGGTCCACCCGCGTGCTGTGTAAATGCTAACCCCATCCCAATATGCACACACTCTCAGGCACGAATACTCAACCCTCTCCCGTCAATCTCCCAGTTTCCTCATCCAGTTCAGACAAGATTAAACTGGCTGGCTTGCTGACCAGATACATGCACAGTCTGCTTTAGCTTCTGGCTATTTAAATACAGATTGCTGTAATGTAAAGCGTTTCAAGGAGAGGCGCGAGTCAGATTAGAGGCTGGAAGTAGAGCACAGCATTTCATGGGGAATTATCAAATGACAATGACAGCCGACAGCACACTGTGAAATATCCCAGTATTATATTAACTTCAAAGGATGAGATGATGGTAGAACAACTTGGTTTGCAGACTTTGTTTTATCCTTGTATTTCTGCGGATTTTCCCCTTTCTTTAAATTCATAGAGGGTCTCCCAACCAGTTGGCCACAAACTGACAATACGTTGGTCATTGTTTGTTTATGTTTATCCTGCTTGATGGACACATTTGATCTAGACTACGCTTTCAAAGGATGTCAGAAAATCTATTTACGAGTCTTACATACAGCTCCATTCGATGCAATGGACACATTTAATTTGGAAAAATGAATGGATTGTGTCTGTTTATGATATGGTGTAAGGTTGGTTTCTATGTTTCTATAATAAAGTTAACAACCTTGATAGATAATCCCTGTTTTTCCCTTTCATGTCCCTTTTAATCCCTGTTAAATCCTACATTATTACCTTTTTCCATGCTTTACCCTGTGATGCTTGTAGGGTTGATCTAGGAAAAGGAAGTTTACTGGGAGACACTCTAGGTCATAGAGTCAGGTGACCTCCTTAAGGGATGACCTAACTAGAAGGTCTGAAGTGTGAAACAGTAAACCGGGATTTCATGATGACACAGGCAGCGTGACAGCGAGGCAAGCGGCCAACAGGAATGCAATGAGCCAGCCACAGTATCAGGTCACCAACGTGTTCCTCTGAAACTGATTCATGCCTAATACGCTTCCTCCAGCAACGAATCCTCTTCCGTCAACTCAAGTTTTTTTTTTCAGCCACTCAACCTAGACACGCTGGCCCACGTCAACCAATTTGTATGTTTGCATCATCAATCAAAAATGTCATGGCATTTCCTGTACTTTTATTATTGTTGGCTTCAAGGAAAATCCTTAGCATATCACCTACAATGTGTTGAAGCGCTAGCCAATAGAAGCACGAGTGTAATATAGTGATGTCACTCAACAAAGGAGTCAAAATGGAGGCGTTTCAGGAAAAAACTAATCAGAAAACCTTTATTCGTCCCACATAAAACAAAAAATAATATAATAAAACATATTCAGGACCCTTTAAATATTAACTAACCACCAGGACACGGTTATCTTAGCATAATAATAGAGACTGCCAATGTTGATGTTGCACTGAAATCAAGGCTTGCTGACTTTAAATATAATACAAATAATTTGTGTCTTTACCCTGGTAAAAAAATGTGCTTTTCAGTTTTCAGTTTGTTTGGCATTAACAAGAAAAATGTGGTTAGCATTAGCAGCATACTAAGGCTGTCAAACTTGCTAATTATGATTGATTCACTACAAAATTGACAAACTCCACTGTCATTTTGCCATACTGTCAGGGACAGTACAATTCTAACCTGTCACCCGTCTAGAAATGATGCTAAATAGTTCAAAAAAGACCACAAAACAGACGCTTTTCAACCAGCTTTGTATTGTTACAATGTGGGTGGAATAAGCAAATGGAAAATATTTGTCTTCCCCTCGTGTTGCTAGAGGTCCCTGCTCTGCCCCTTATTACTAATCATTGTAGGCTAAATATAAAAATGTATTGGTTTGCAATGCTTCCTTTTCAATTATTACATTTGCGACAATAATGTTGAAAATACTTCCAATCAAATATTGATCTATGCGGTGTATATATCAATTACTTAATCAGCATATCTTGTAATCTCATTGGTTGAAAGCCCCAGTAGGTTCTGTTGCTGAACAGAATGAGCCAACTATAGAAATGCAAGCGTTATCAATAGACAATGTGTGGAAGAAGCGCGAAGAGTTAGGGATATAGATGACCTCTGGGAATACCAGTTTGGAAACATAACGTTAAAACACCAAACCAGAATAACTCATGAATAATGACTGTGATCTTAGAGGGCTTTAGGCTGTTACTCACGGACACAGATGGTGGCGAGGAGTCTGGTGGCGATGTACGGAGGAAGGCACTCCGGGAAGGCCGGCTGCAAGACGTAATTTGAGAAGGTGAGCGCGATGACCGCCAGCGTGGTCGGATACATTATAAGGACGGCACTCCATAACAACAGGAAGCTGCGGGACAAAGAGACAAAACAAACAGTATTTAAATGCGAGAGTAAAAGGCCTTTGCCGTGATTTATTTTATACTTCTGCTTCAAACTGTAGTTGGTCTCTGTACTATAGAGCCCTGGAGTGACCATAAAGAGAAAAAAAGTATATTTTTGTATGTGTGCAAGATGTAACTTGTGCCCTAGTTTTAATTAAATTGCTCGCACATTTTTCATCAATTCTCAAAAGAATTTTGAGCATTGGAGATGCATCCGCGGAGGAGCCGTGGAGGACCCATCATTGTCTCCTCGGTTATAGCTCCTCCAGAGAGCCTCCTTGATGCTCGATGCTCGGTCCTCGATGTGCATTTAGAGAAATTAGATGTCCTTCAACATGGCACGCTGAAATCCATCTCCGGGTCACTACCGGAGGACCGAGGAGTCGAGGAGGGGAAATTAGAGTATTGAAAAGCCTCTTTAGTCTTACAGTGCTGCTCTGTGATCAGCTGACGTATCACATGACCAGATGAAAGTCACAAGACCTTTAGAGCCGATTGGTTCAACACAGGCAGTCCTTAAACCAGCGCTCTTGTGTACACACACTGGGCGGTTAAAGAGTAATCCACAACAAGGGAGTAAAATGCTGGAAACTAACAGTCAACATGAAAAAAAAGCTGTTGTAAAGTAAAAACTACTGTTGTAGTTTAGGCACAGCAACGTAAAAACCCTAACCAGACAATACAAAAGTACTCACCCCACTAGCCCTCCAAAGATTTCTGTCACGTATGAATAGTCTCCTCCAGATTTTGGGATGGTGACACCCAGTTCAGCATAGCAAAGGGACCCAAGGGCACAGATCCCCCCTCCACAAACCCAGACGATGAGTGACAGACCCACGGAGCCTGTATGCTCCAACACGCCTTTAGGAGAGATGAATATCCCAGAGCCGATGATGTTACCTTAGGAGAAAAAAACAGATTTAAACGGTCTTTTTGTTCAACTCAATTATAGCTGTCCAAATACAGGTTTTTCTTCTGACTCTGAGGCTGAACAAACAACAAAACAGACGTGGCCAAAAAAAAACTGTAAAAAAACAGGTGCAAAGAAATCCCACGGGTCTTATTAAAAAATCACAACCATTTGAAAAAAAATCTCTAGGGATTTGTTTAAAGTGTGTTTTATTTCATTTAGAAACTTAGAAACCTACACAGATCAGCTACCATTGAATGTATGTCTGTCTTATGGAGTACTGGATGCATCTGTTAAATTGGTTTTGACGTGGTTTAGGTTTGAACTATTACTGTATATTGACTCTAGTATCAACCAAGTCAAATTAAACGAGATCAAAGTAGATATTGTAACTGTGGAATGTTGGATGACAGAGAAGTCTAACGCAAGGTTGCAGTGAAAAATAATGGTAAGAAAACGTTGAACTTTGTTGAAAAAAGCAATTATTTTTTCTCTATAGAGACGGCAAATATGTGCAACCATACAGCTGCAATACCTATGACATTGCAGGCCGCACATTATAAATTGCAGAGGAATTTCAACAAGGTCAAAAGATACAAATTCATACAACTTTTAAATTATTTTTAAAAATGTACATTTTGGAGTTGGCCACACAAATGTTGTGTGTGATCACACAACCCTTAACTTTGACCAACAACATCTCAACAGCGAAGCCTTGAGTTGAAGTATGTCACGATTCTCATGTTATGTCACGTTTATAGTTTTGTAGGTTTGGGTGTTTTTGCTGTTTTCCATGTCATGTTTCCCTTTGGGTTATTGTCTTGTCATTAGTTTCCCTGGTGTGTCTAATTGTCTGATTATGTTCACCTGGGCCCCTGTGTTTTCTCCTCCCTCCTCACCTGTGTCTTGTTGTGTGATTGAGTCTTGTGTGTATTTAAGTTCTGGGTTGTCTGTCTGTCTTGGTCGGTTCGTCTTGTTCCCTGACTAGTTCTGCGGTGAGTGTTCTGTTTTGTCATTGTCTATATATATATATATATATATCATAGCCTTGAAATAAAGGAAGTTTCAGTTTATATCTGCATTTGGGTCCTGCTTGTTTCACAAACCGTGACAGTACGAACCGACCAAGAAATGGGCCCAGCAGATCCGTTCGAGTCGGAATTATTAAATGTTTCCTTTTTTTT